GGGGAAGCGAAGAGGCTGACCAGGAAGAGATATGTAGAGGGTGATTGAAAAACTCGACGACACAAAGCCAAGTCCCTTTTGATTGGCATTTGAAAAGACTGCGCAAGTGCCTGAATTCTGTACTACACCTGTACCAACAGCGACACTTCACAATACAGCACAGTACTAATCCTCCCCCGCCCCGCGCTGTTTTAACCCCTCACCCCACCCGGCCTGTTCGGGCACTTCACCCACACCAATTAGGAAACCGACAATAGGCAACCACTGTTTGACTTGGCTCAATTCAACCGCGCAATATATACTTACTTTTGGGTACCGGTTCAAGCTGCAAAAGTTGTGGTACAAAATTTTTATGTGTTACTGCATATATGCAAATGCAAAAACTCGTAACTGTGACGGTTATGGTGTGTGTATGTGTGCGTCTGTATGTGGTGTGTGCGTGTACATGTGATTGTGTATATGTATGTGTGGTTGTGTTTGTGTGTGCGTATATATATATATATATATATGTATATATATGTGTGTGGTTGTGTATATGTATAATTATGCGCGTATGTGCGTGTGTCCGAGTATTTTAACTTGACAGCTAAGCAAACCTCGGCGCTGAAATTTCGCCCACTTAAATGCAATCCCAGGACCCGGTACCAAACTTCACGCACGTCCTGAGCCCTACATAAAAGAGCATGTGGAAGTTTTGGCGGAAAATTGCCAAATTAGGGACTAAAAAAGCTAAAAGATTTTAAGTGAATGTTCCCTGCCCACGTAAAACTTAGATTATTTCAAGTTCAGGCCCCAGGCATACGATTTTCGGCACTCGGGCGCGTGAAAGTTCTGGCGAGAGAATTGCTGACTCAGGGACTAGAAAAGCTGAAATTTTAAGAGGATGCTTCTCACCAGAGTACAAATTAAGAATTTCAAATTCAGCCTTCAAGCACGTGTGGTACTTAAGTACGGGCACGTCAGAGTGGGAGAATTGCCCATTGTGCACAACTTGTCATTTTTAATGAGCGACCGTCCAACGGAAATTTTTCATTTACCTCTACGCAAAATTTACTTTACGCTGAATGCATAAACTAATCATTGGCGACGCGCACCAGCGGGGCCCGTGCTATCATGTGTTCTTGTAGAATTTCGTGCTGTAGTAAGAACGCTCGGTAACCCAGTAGCTAGAATTTGTGGTCGGGAAGTTAATTGTGCAACTACGTGGTAAATGGACAGGGAACATTCCGTTAAAATTTCAACTTTCCAACTTTTCCGGTTTTCTTTTTAGCAATTTTCCAGCCAGAATTTTCACGAAGCCGTACATGACCTGGGGCATACCTGGGGACTGAGTTTGAAATCTTTAAGTTGTACATGGGCTGGGTACATCTCTTTAAAATCCCAGCCTCTCAGCTTTCCTGGTTCCCGAGTTAGCCATTTCCTTATCAAAAATTTTTACAGGGCCGTACGTAAGAAACGTGCATGCCTGAAGGCTGAATTTGATAAATTTAAGTTGTACGCGGGCTGCGAACATCCTCTTAACATTTCAACCTCTCAGCCTTTCTGATTCCAAAGTTGGCGATTTTCCCGCCACGAACCCTCACGCGGCTGTATGCGGGAAGCATGCACACCTGAGGGCTAAATACGAAATCTGAGTTCTATATTGACGGGGAACATAAACTCGAAATTCCAGCTTTCTAGCTTTTCTGTCTCCCGATTAAGCAATTTTCACGCCAAAACTTTCATCCTCTCGTACGCGAGGCCCAGACTTGCGTGAGGGTTGGTGCTGTGATTCTGGTGACACTTGGCCGGAAAACCCACTGGCAAAATTTTGGCGCTGGAGCTTGCTTGGGTGCCGAGTTGAAATACCCGGACAGACGCGCAC